ACATATCTCCTTCATTGTATTTTCTTTAATAATTTGTAAACATTATTAATTGCTCCCTTTTCTTTTTTGGGGGGGAGGGGTGCTTTTATTCATTGTAGAGTATTTAAGTCATAGAAAAGTACATTTACGATTGTATACTAATTCCATTTTTCATTTCCAATGAAAACTGACATTTCAATGATTTCTCAAAATCAGTTTTAGTCTATCTGAGGAGAATTCAAGAGTCTGAGTGCTACAGGATAATATGATGGAAGCAGAAAATAAGAGAATGGTGTCCCTGTTATTAAACATATATAGTAGCCCATCAGGGGAAACCGTTTGCAATTAATTGACACTATCCTCTGAGTTCTTATTTTTCTGGAGGAGAAAACAAAATGAAACAACACCCCCCCCCCCCCAAAAAAAAATTGTGGGATTACTTTTTTAACCAATCTTTCACCAGAGGGCACCAAGACTCCTAACCCACAATTAAAAATTTTTTTTCCCTAAAATATCATTGTGAAATAGGAGACTGGAATGTATGAGATCCAAACATTATAGGCCAAGAGATAAGAGGCCAACATACTTTGAAACATGAAGCAACACCACACTAGCATAGAGAAAGTAAGGTTAAAGGCAGGCTGGAGAAGTGGCAAGAACAGGCCTCAGGGTGATGATGACAAACTGGCCTGTATAAGGATCTGCTCATTACTCACACAAATTTTTAATTTTTAAAAAATGTGTTTTTGTTGATTTTCCCCCCCAGGGAGAGGGATAGAAATATCGAAATATCCGTAGGAAGGCTGCCTCCCACACGCCCCCTACTGGGGCTGGAGCCCCAAATCCAGGCACATGCCCTGACCCAGAACCAAACCGGTGACCTCTAGTATTCACAACCCAATTGATCAACAGGACCTGATTTTTGCCTCCATGTCATTTGAGCTTACTAAGTAGTCACAGTCTTACGCTTAACGAGGCTTTTTTCCTCTCTTACAATTATTAAACTAATCACCTTGCCTAGAAAATGGAAGGCTGACTTCCTAACCTGAATCGTTGTCTATAAACGTCAAGA